TTCCCAAACCAAATTAGCTTGCGTGTTGCCAATAGATCTCCCTTTAGCATTCACCAGGCTCAGGGAAGAGCCTGTGTTGGACTGAGAAACACTGTCCCTGAGCAGAAAACATTCACCAGATCGATTTTGCCTTTCCATTCCTAGATAGAAGAGCGAGCGGAATTTTTGAATAAGTCTGCGCAGAAAAGGTAAGTATGGTCAGGGGACCCACTGAGAATCGCCAGCGGTGATTGGCATAGAGAGACTCTCTCTCATGTCTCCACCTCTGTATCAACAGTGGTGTCAAATCAACTCATCAAGCCACCGTCGTCTCCAAGATTGACAGCCGACTGGAGCAGTATACCAGTGCCATTGAGGTGAGTGCCGGTTCAATTCTCCTCCTCTCCTTTGTTTCCTAGGGGGGAGATGCAAAGGGGCTTCAAAAGGTTCTTGGAGAAATGAATTAAAAGATGGTAGAATTTTTCCACCAACTTTTTGAAGTGCCTTGTAGCTGTAAAAAGTCTATAGACAAGGGGGAAGAGGCAATGAGAGAGAGGCACCCTAGACGACGCAGCAGAGTCTTAATGCTCAAGAGTCCGTTTTTATTCCCAGGATTGGATGTCAACTGAAATATAGTCCCTTCCAACACACATCTCTGTGTGCATCTGAGTAGAACTGGCCCCGTGGGGCTTCCAAGGGCTAGTTTTCAGAGGCAGGTCACTAATCCCTAGGCCTGTCTTCTTGGACCACTCTGGGTGAATTGCAGCCACCCAACATTTATTTGGTTAGCAGCCAACTGAGTTAACCATTTGCACCCCTGGGAACTCCACACCCACAAATAAACTCACTACCATCGACTTGATTTCAATTCATAGCAACACTCTAAGACAATAGAACTGCCTCTTGTGCGTGTCCGAGACTGTCATTCTTCACAAGAGTAGAAAGTCGCATCTTCCCCCCTAGGAGAGGCTGGTGGCTTCGAACTTCCAGCTTTGCAGTTAGCCAGCCCAGTGTGTAACTACTACACCAGCAGAGCTCCTCCCCAGCAAATAGTGCCCTCGGCCCTGCTCAATGCTCACCCTCGTGAAGAGATCACTGAAGATATGGGTGTGATGGTAAAGTGCTGGGAAGAAACCAGATGGCGCCCAACTATCAGAATAGTTGCCTAGAGTCTTAAAGGTTTGTCTCCAAACAAGCAGCTAGCTGTCTAAGTGAAGCATCAACTAAGTTCACATGGAAGAAGCATATCAGCCTGTGTAATCCAAGGAGGGTAAATAATGAAATCCAAATCCAGAGGAGGGAATGGTATTAGAGATTAAATTCTGGACACCTGCTTTGCAGAAGGCTATGAATGACTGTGGAAGCCCAAAATCCATCTGCAGAGTCCATACCTGGATTAAGCCTCTGGTGAATCCACTCTGACCATAGGTGAGGGGTGTGACGAGCCTTGCTATGGGACAGAGAGCATTGTAACCTTGATTATGGCAGAAGCAGTTACGTTAAAATGTAATACGTCATTTGATCTCCCTTTGACTCATTTGAAAGTTGTTTCAATTTTTAATATTTTCTGCTTTCTTTTTTATTGAGATTTTTTTATATTTTGTCTAGTCACTGTTGTTGGTGTTTTGTTTGTTTTTTGTGCTTTATATAGTTTTCTGTATATGAAATCCAGGGTAAGTCGATTTATAGAAAGAGAGAAATTGGATTCATAATTCCCTAGGTGCATGGCAGGGGAAGGAGGGGGAACACAGGTAGCTAAAAGCAGTGAGTCTAAGAAAAAAAAAATGTTCTGAAATTGACTGTGGTGAAGATTGCACAATCTTCTTTCTATGATTGAGTGGTTAAATTATATAATGTGTGAAGAATAAAGCCAATAAAGCTATTGCTAAAAAAATAAGTAAATAGTGCCCCCAGAAAATGCACCCTCTTGAGTGATCCTCCGGTTGGTTTGGAGGTCTAGATTGAGTGAGTCAGGATTGACGGGAAGGACAGACGACATCATCAGGATGGGGTTCTGCGAACACAAGGGGGTGAAGGTGCTTACACGTTCTCATGGGCGCTTGCTGTCCATGATAACGTTGAGGAAGGAGGACAAACGGACGACATGCTAACAAGCAGCAGCTTGCCGGTCCTAACAATAATTCACACATTTCAGGGAACAAAATCTTCAAAACTTACGAAGCCAGCTGCCTCGGATCTTCCCGTCCCCGCGGAGGGGGTGCGCAATATCAAGAGCATGTGGGAGAAGGGGAACGTCTTCTCATCCCCCACCGCGTCGGGCACCCCAAACAAGGTCAGCAGGGGAATCTCGTCTCTTAAGTTTGGGGTGGAGGAGGATTTCTTTTTTTGTTTGTGTGTTAGTTCAGGTAGACCAAGAAATAAATCCAGGGAAACTCATATGTGTGTAAGAGAGAACTTAATATCAGAGTAATTGTACATTAAGAAAACACCCCAGGCCAGGCCAGATCAAGTCCATGCATCCTATATTATCCCATATGTTCAGTACCAGGCTATAAATTCCTCTTCAGACTCATGCAACACATGCAATGACGCCAAATGCAGGAAGATCACAGGTCACTGGGTGGAAAGTCTTGTGGATCCAATGGCAGGGGAAGCATCTCAGCACTAACAGGGGATCCTCCAGCTCCAGGGCTCTAGCGTAGCTCCATGTTTGTTAGCAGGAAGACAAGCAAAGAGTGTGTCCCACCTCCAGGGAGGAAGATAGGAAGTCCCAGAATCCTCAGGAGAAGGCCAAGCCCACACAGAGGCCTCATTGGCTATGGCCTGATTGACAGGCTAGACTCCACCCCTTCGCAAGTTGACAGGAGATGATGTAACTGCCACAGTTTGTTTTCAAGGATCACATACACATAATAACATCATTCGCCACCAAGTTGACTCATGATGACCTTATGTGTCCAAGGCTCATGCTCAAGAACTGATTGTTCAGAAGCAGAGCACCGGGCCTCTCTTTGCAGGTGCCTCAGGATGGACTTGCACCTCCAGCCTTGCAGTTAGCAGCTCTGTGCATTAACCATCTGCATCACCCCAAACTCAGAACCAAACTCACCTCTATTGAGTCGATGCCAATTCATAGCCACCCTATAGAACAGGGGAGAACTTCCCCTGTGGGTTTCCGAGACTGGAACTCTTGGAAGTCGGATGTCTCATCTTCCTCCTGTGGAGTAGCTGGTGGGTGGTTTCCAATTGCAGCCTTGCAGCGAGCAGTCCAGCATGTAACCACTACGCTCCCAGGGCTCCTTTGCAACCCCCCTCCCCCCCCCCCACCCCGGGACCACTGAATTAACTACTAGGAATGGAAAGGGTACAATTCATTTTCTTTAATGACTGTGAAAGTAAGCTCAGAATTTGTTTTTAAGTATGTGTTGATGAGGCTAGATTCTGTCCAGTTCTTTGGCCATGCGATTTTAAATAAAGCACTAGAACTAGGTTATCAGTCTTTCGGGTTGAAGGACATGGGATACAGAGGAAAGTAAACCAACTAACCTGGTTTAAATATTAAGGAAATAAATGCCATCATGTCAATGCCAACTCATAGCAACCCTATAGGACGGGGTAGAACTGATCCCTGTGAGTTTCGGAGACTGTAACTATTTAAGGGAGTAGAAAGTCCCAGCTTTCTTCCTCGGAGCTGCTGGTGGTTTTGAACTGTGGACCTTTCAAATTGCAGCCCAATCTGTAACCAGTACTCTGCCAGGGTGCATTTAAAGATTAAGGTGAAGGTTACTTAACTACAGATCTTAGAACTGTGGGTCCAGACTAGGGCCGTGTTCCCTGACAGCTGTAGGAAGTCACACTGAATGGGATTTTGCAGCTGTGTTGAAGATTCCCTCCCAGGTCAGTTGTATTTACTTTGCGCTTTTATATTCTGGGTGGTTTGGCTCTTTGCAGGAAACAGCTGGCTTGAAGGTGGGAGTGTCCAGCCGCATCAGTGAATGGTTGACCAAAACCCCAGAAGGGAGCAAGTCACCGGCTCCCAAACCTTCTGTAAGTAGCTCCGGGGTTTTCCGAGCTTCTGGGATCGCTCCGCTTCCAGCACCTGAGGAAAAGAGGCTGGTCCCCAACCACGCATTCCTAAGAGCAGGTGTCTGCGTCTTGAGCCCTGGAGTTCAAATTTGTCCTATTTCTGTCACGTGGCACAAAACTAGTTATCGAGCAGCTGGGGAGAGAGTTGCTGTAATTTTGTGAACACCTCAAAGGGAGAACCTTCCCCCCTCCCCGCCCCCCCAAAAAAAGGAAAACAGTACACAGAGAGTGTAGAAACATTGATGGCGAATGTTGTCTTCGCGATCTAAACTGTTCTTCTTATGTGTGGCTGCCTTCACCTGGACATGGGCTTCGGGCCTGTTGGTTGACTGTGTAGGTTACCTTGCTTGGCTTGCTCATTTCAACCAAAAGTCTCAGAAGCTCTCTGTCAAGGTGGCTTTTAAGGCTCTGCCATTTCCAGGGGAGATGAGACTTGGCTGTCATGGCTACTCCATCCAGAGTAAGGACCCAAGCTTTCCACTTCCTGGGCCTCTGTGCCACGGGGCATGTGACAGCCTTCACTGGCTCCCAATGTCATCCTCCAAGTCACCTCTCATTCTATTGTAATTCACTTCAAGGTCATGTAAACGTTTGTTTTATTGAAACCTAAAGCCTACTTGCACGTCGTGTCGTTTGAATTTAAAATGTGCCTCAGTTTCATTTGACTAAGTTTATGTTTATCAAAAAAGAAGTCTTTGTGCTCCGTCTTGGGTGCATCCCTTTCCCGTGCAGCCGCTTTGTCCGAGTTCAGCCTGAAATCCTCCACATCAGGCCTCACCGGAAGTGTCAGCTTATGTCAACCCACAACTGAACTCACTCCCATGGAGTCAAAAAGGAAGAAATCCAGACAGAGCGAACAAAAGCCATCTCCCCTCTCTCCCAGGAGATAGAGGAAAACTAGTCCCCAATAAGGTGGCTCTGACTCATGGTGACCCCACGGGTGTCAGAGTAGAACTGGGTTTCCCGGGGTCTTCCATGGGTGTCTTTTAGGAAGGAGATCACCAGGCTTTTCTTCCGAGGCACCTCGGGGTGGGCACAAACCTCCAGCATTTCGGTCAACAGCTGGAGCACATAAAACATGGGCACTGCCCAGAGAGGCCTGAGTCTCGGTCCGAGCTCCCTATGTACTGCCTTGGAGAACATGAGTGGAAGACAAAGCCTGGGTTTGTGTGCGCAGATGTGAGACCTAAGGGCCCAAATTCCAAACTCCCTTCCATGGAGTCGATTTCCACTTGTAGCCCCCCTAGAGGACAGAAGGGAATAAGAGCCGCCCCTGGGTGTCCGAGGCTGTAGCTCCTTTCTGGAGTAGGAAGCCTTGTCGTTCTTCCTCAGAGCAGCTGGGGGGTTTGAACTGCTGACCTGTGGTTAGCAGCCCAGCTAACGCCACCAGGGCATTCAGGCCAACTCCCCAAATGGTCCTCACCCAGTAAGTCTCAAGGGGGGAGGGGTGGGGTGCGAATCTGCAAGGTGAACGTGCGGAGTTCTAAAACTCCTGGAGAGAAAAGTCAACCTCTCCCATGCATGGAAGACGTTTCCCTACAGGCTCAGAACTCACAGTGCCCCGAACACTTTGTTGACACCCTATTATGTGTGAGGCCTGAACACGAACCCGTGTCGTGTCGTGCATAAAATGAAACACTAAGGGCTACCCTGTTCCTTATGAGAACACAGACCGCCCGGGTGTCAGCTGCGAGCGGGTCTGTTTTAGCTTCTGTGTGTGGTCTTTGTGTCTGCGGCGCCACGTGTTGTACAGCCTTGGCAAAGCTAATTTGTCTTTCTTTTTGTTTGAAACCCAAACCGCCCACCCTGTCCTTCTCAGCTGACATTCTCTGCTTCACTCTTTGGTCTGTGGGTGATGAGAAAGCTGCCTCTCTGCCTTCATTTCTCCTTCTCCTCCCGGAGTGGGCTTTCTCTAAAATGTACTCTGGTCAGGTAATGTCTTTTCTATTTCCCCTTTCGTTGAAAATGCCACTTAACCATTGGGATGTTAACCTTCTATTTTTTCCCTTAAAGTGGACTCTTGGAACTATTTATGTGAGCATCCACCTAAGCAGGACTGAAGGTCAAGACAATGCAGTTTCTTAGGTAGAAGAGCGTTGGTGGAGAGACAATGATTTGTCTCTCGGGGAATCAAATCGATAAGTGATCATAGACTCTTTGCAGAGCCCACTTCAATGTGCTCCTAATCACAGTGCCCAGGATTTTAAAAATGGCCTGCCAGGCCATGTGGCAACATCCAGCTGCATTGGCAAGTGTAGTGGAATCCTCAACAACCCATCTGATTTGTGGCTTAAGTGTAGCTCCCCAAGAGAATATCAGGAACCCCAGGCCGGGCCACAAGGGCAACTCAGAAACTCAGGGAGACAGGAAGTACGTCCTCAAGCATCTCTATCCCAGTTGAGGTCACTACCAGGTGGGGAGCAGAGACGGAACGCCTAGGTAACTGCAGGCGAGCCCGTTCCAGCGTTTTCTGCCCAAGGTCCAGATCCCCGCATGTCCTCCCAGGTGACATCCACTCCCGGTGCTCACCTGCGTATCATTTCTGGTGCATACTTCACTTCAGCGGGGCTAAGTTCTACTGACACACTCCTGGACCACCCCCAGCTCCTCCACTCCCCCACGGGGAGCCACAAAACTATGTCCACCTGGAGAGTAGTCAATCAGGAAAGGGGCTTCCTTTGGGTTGTCCACTGGAAGATGCTGAGAACATGATTTGGGTAAAGTCTCCTTGGACCGGGGGGAAGAGGACCCACTCAGCAAGGTAAGCAGGAGCTTATACGTGCTTATTTACCAATGTGCCATGAACAGCACCATGTGGTTCATCACATCTAATGGGAAACTCTTCTCGGCAGATTAGCAAGTAAGCACAGGCTTGCCTTGTTTCCTGGGTGCTCCACCCCGGTCTGGGATTGTCAATTTGAAAAGAAGATTGGATTCTGCAGGCAGGTGCTGCGGGGTTGGGAGAGGTGATAGATGCCAGCCGGACGTAGAAGCAGGATCTGTGACATGTTGGAAACACGCGGAATTGTTCACTACAGATAAGTCAGTCCACACAAGTCAGCCCCTGCTGGCCTGGCTTATTGAGTACTGGCCCCAAGCCAGCCCCGGGTGAAGCAGCACGCAGGTGGATGAACAAAGTGGGAGGAAAGAGAAGGCAGTTGATAAAGGAGGCATCACATGGACTCTGAGACCTTCACACACACACACACACACACACACACACACACGCACACGCGAGGAAGCTCGGGAGGCCACCATAGAACCCACACCTCAGAGTAGTCCTAGCTGAGGGATCCTGAGAAACATTTGTGCCCCAGCTCGCTCTCTCATCATTGAGCGCTTGAAGAAGGCTCCCAGGCATGTGACTGCTGAACTCCCGGCTTGCCTCTCGGGTACCATGGGCACCTATAGGCAAAGGAAGCCCTGAAAGGCAGGCAGTGGTGGTGGGCGAAGCCAGGCTGGTGTGCTGCAGGGCTGGGAGCTGAGAACGGTGACAGGACACCAAGAGAAAGGTCATCTGCCAGGGGCTGAAATGCTCATCAGTCCCCCAAACAAATTGTGTGGAAGCAACAAATGGTCTACATACAAGAGTATGGGAAGTGCAAGACAGGCGAGATCATTTGAAATGTGCTTCTACGCCAAGGTTACTGGTCCTTAAAGCAGCACGTTCCCGGTGAAAGATAGGGACGCAAATGTACGGTTTCCTGGCCCGCTCTCAGATTGTAAGGCAAGTCAGTATCGAGAGCAGGGCCGGGCACCTTTTTTCCTGCCAAGGGCCGTTTGGGTATGTCCAACACTGCTTGAAGGCCGTGCAAAGCTATCGACTTACAAATTAGCTTGATTGATTTACTCAAACATTTCGTCACCTTGCCCCTAATGTGTTGGCTGGAACGGAGGCTCTTTGGTGAGACGTGTGATGTTAGCTGATGTTGATGATATGGCCCTCTGGCCAATGTGCCCCACCCTTGATCTAGATAGATGGGTGTGTGTATATATATATTTAAATTAAGGCTGATGATTCTTTCACTTCCATTCATCCATTTCATATAATGAAGGGAAGGGTATTAAATAAAACATTAGCTCAAATAAATAAGCATTGACTTGGTGACTTCTTGAGAGCTGGCCAGAAAGTGTAACTGCTAACCTCTTTTTCTGCCTCCCCTCGCCTAGGATTTGAGACCAGGAGATGTATCAGGCAAGAGGAACCTCTGGGAGAAGCAGTCTGTGGAAAAGGTCACCTCTCCCACTAAGGTAAGTTGCTGCGAGGTCTACAGTTTCATAAGTTTATCTTCCTGGTGTCTCCCGCGGGGCAGGTTCCTGGGACCCAATGAAAACTAAGGCTGATGCCCAGCCCCTGGCTGTGTAACCGCAGGTCCCAGCAGATCAGCGGAAAGTAGAGTAAAGGCAGAATCCATTGTGGGTCTCTTAGCCAGACAGGGTAGGTCACCTCCAGCCCGTGGACTAATTCCCTGTGGAATGACCTAGGAACACCATCGAGGGGAGCGTGTGGGACAGCCATGTCTATCTGAGGACAGTTGTGTCCACATGGGACAAGGTGCCTACATAGGACAATTGTAGCTACCGTGGCTCGAGTCAGGTACATCTTTGCCCTCGTGACATCTTTAATTTTTAACGCTTTTTAAAAAACCATTTTATTGGGAGCTTGTACATTGTGTCTGTACATGTGTTGCCATCATCATTCTCAAAACATTTGCTTTCTACTTGAGCCCTTGGTATCAGCTCCTCATTTTTTTCCTCTCCCTCCCCGCTCCCCCCAATTTTTCACACTTTTAAGGGTTCTTTTGCACGGATTGGTCCAATACAGTTCAGTATGTGATTTTTTGACTACTGAGTCAGCATTGACCCTGTGACAGTGACTTTGGGTTTTGTGTGGCTTCTGTGAACATTGATTGTATATCCCAAGAGAATGAACGAGGTCCTTAGCAACTTTCATCTCTTTACCATTTATTGTGATGTTGTCCATTGGTCCAATGGTTGTGTTCTTTGCACTGAATTGTAGCTCGTACTGGCAGCTCTCGTCTTTGATCTTCATCAGTAGTGCTTCGGGTCCCCTGAGCTTTCAGCAAGTGAGATTGTGTCATCCGCCTATCACAGGCTGTTCATGAATCTTCCTCCAATTCTGATGGCTTGTTCCTCTGCATATAGTCTAGGTTCTTAAAGGATTTCCAGATTAAATCAGAATGGTGAAAGGAAACAGCCTTGACACGCACTTTTCCTGATTTTAAAAACACACAGTCTCTCCTTGCCTCTTGTTTGATGTACAGGTTCCACATGAGCATAATCAAGTGTTCTGGAATTCTCATTTTCCTCAACGTTATCCTTAATTTTATATAATCCACTCCGCTGGGTGCTTTTGCATAGCCAATCAAACATCAGTAAACACCTTTATGGCATTCTCTGCTTTCAGCCAAGAGCCATGTGATGTCAGCAATGATGTCTCTCATTCCACATCCTCTCCTCATGCAGCTTGAATTTCTGCAGGTGTGAGATCAAACAAGACCGGCTGTCTCACAACAAACAGGGCCCAAGAGGGGCACAAGCTACCATTGAGAAGGACAGACTAAGAGAGAAAAGATGAGAGACCACGTTGGGGGCAGGGGCGTGGAGGCAAGACAGTCCAAGGGCAGCACGTTGCTATGCACTCCTTGTCACATAGCCTGCATCTTGTGACAGGTTTCCAGACAAAGGACTGTTGAGTTATCTGAGGGCATACAAAGAATTCGCTAAGTTTTCCAAGAAAGGGAGGGGAGGATAGAGTCAGGAAGAGGTCTTGATAATGTGCTACATCCTGACATGGTTGAATGTGAACACTTCGTGATGGCACAGGGACCTCGTGTGTTCCTTCCATCCCATCTTTCTTTTGATGTTTCCTGTGGTGTGCAAGCCCATAGGGTCACTATGAGCCAGAATCAACTCGATGGGAGTGAGTTTACTTGGTTTTTTTGGTTTTCTCTGGTTCTTTCAGCTTGAGAAATACTGAGCATTGGCTTCCCTTTGATGCCCAATGCCAGGTCTTGGCACATTTCATCCAAAGACTTGGGCATCTCAAGTCAGCCACTGAATTTTGTTCAGCTCTTCAGCAATGTTTCCTTTCGAGTTAGCTTATCTTTCAGAGCAAGTTTCATCATTTCTCTTGACGTCTGGTTGGTCCTTTACTTCTTTCCTCTTTAACGACCTTTGCTCTCTTCGTGTGTGTGATTGATGTCTACCCACAACTCATCTGGTCTTCGATCATTAGTGTCCAACAGTCTACAGATGATCTCTGAGTTCAGGTGGGATATACTCAGGGTTGTACTTTGTCTCTCGTAGACTTGTATTACTTTTCTTGAAGCTTCCATTTAAACTGACATAAAAGTAATTGGTGATCTGCCCCCCAGCTGGCTTCTCACCATGTTCTCCATGGTCTTTTCCCACAGCTGCTCTATGTTTGAGTCCTGTGAATTCCAGCTGGTGTAGTCCCCAGAGGTAGACTCCACTTCTGTTGTTGAAAAGAGGTGTTGGCAGTGAATAAGTGATTAGTCTTGCAAAATTCTGTCACACACTCTCTGGTATGGTTACAATCACCAAGGCCATCTTTTCCACTGTACATCCTTCTATTTTGATGATAACGTCTGCATTCCCATCACCATTAATTATCCATTTATATTTCATATTTGATCATTCCAGACTGCAGAAATTGATTTTCTTAAATCTTCAGTTTCTTCATCGCTGGCATTAGTGATTGGGGTGGAAATTTGAAGAATGTTAACTAGTCTGCCTTATAGGCCTTCAGTTAGTATCCTCTCCCTGACAGCATGCTACTTCAGGATCTCTCTGGAGATGTTCTTCCTGCCAATAAATTGGACGTTGTTCCTCTGCAAGTTGCCATTCCCAGCACAGTAGACAAGGGATTGTCTGAATCCGAATGGCCATTGCCATTACCAACCCAATGCCTAGGGCATCTTTCTTCAAGTGTGTGGTGCAGTGGGATTCATTCTATTCACATTGTTGCCCACTCTTACATCACCCCAAACACGCAGTGCCCACCAAGCAGTAACCCTCCATGCCAGTCTTGCACTGACCCCAGCAACTATTCATCTACTTGGACGTGCACTCTTAGTCATTGTACATACTGCCTTCTTTGGTCGCTTTTAAATGCCTGATTAGCACAATGTTCTCCTGGTGGAAGGGGAGTGAGGAATGTGGTTGTTCAAACAAATCATGAATCGTTTGTAGTTGACCTTTCAGAAGTGGCAGGCCACTTGTCTACATAACTTCCTTTCTGAGCAGGGGTATCAGCCACCCATAGCCAGGTATCACAGGTACAATGGGCCCGTCCCTCCAGATAGCCACAGCTCTGGGACCCAGAGCAAAGAGTCACTCTGGAACAATAAGGCTGCAGAACACCACACCCAGACATCACACATCAACGGGACTCCTTGGAATGGAACAGGTGACACAAGATAGAGGAGGGCAGGGGCTGTACCACTCCTTGGTCTACACCTCTAAACTCTTTCTGTAGTTAAAAAAAAAACTCACTGCCAATGAGTCGATTCCAACTCACATGACCCTATAGGACAGTGGTTCTCAACCTGTGGGTTGCAACCCCTTTGAGGGTCAAACAACCCTTTCACAGGGGTCGCCTGATTCATAACAATAGCAAAATGACAGTGATGAAGTAGCAACGAAAATAATTTGATGGTTGGGGGTTGGGGGTCACCACCACATGAGGAACTGTATGAAAGGGTCGCGGCATGAGGAAGGTGGAGAACCACTGCTCTAGGACAGGGTAGACCTGCCCCTGTCATTTTCACAAACTAGAATGCCTTATAGAAATAAAAAGCCTCACCTTTCTCTTGCAGAGAGGTTGATGTTTTCGAACTGTTGACCCTGTACTTAACAGCCCAATGCATAACCCACTTTACCACCGGAGCGCCTTTCTATAGTCACAGCAATTATTATGATAGTGATAGTGATAATAACATGGATCCCTTGTGGTACAGGGGTTAAGTACTCAGCTGCTAGCTAGAAAGTCGGTGGTTCAAGCCTCCCAGCGGCTATACTGGAGAAAGATCTGAGATGTGATCCCTTAAAGCAGCTTAAGAAAGTCGGTAAGGCCGTTCTCCTCTCATCTAGGGTCCCTGTGAGTGGACATGGACTTGATGACACCTGATAACAATGACCAGGTGCAATCCTGAGTTGATGGGGTGGTGGGTTCAATAGCACCTTTGTTCCCAAATTGCACACATCACCACTTGTCGTGCCTTTGACCTAAAGCAGATGCATGTGATGCAAACACCAGTTCCCCTGGAGTTGGTTCACATTCGTGGGACCCCAGGAGTGCCAGAGTAGAACAGTGCTCACAGGACTGATTTTTTAGGAAGCAAATTGCCAGGTCTTAATTCTGAGGCACCTCTAGGTGGGCCCAAACCTCCCACCTCTGGGTTAGCAGCTAATGCATTCATGGTTTGCACCAGGGACTCCCAATACTTTATTTGTTAATCCCTCAGAAAAAAAAATTAAGTAACTGAGGTGGGGAAGGGTGTAAGAATCAGACCAGAGACAGAGACAGCCCTGTAGGGTCACCATGAGACGGCCCTGTAGGGTCACCATGAGACGGCCCTGTAGGGTCACCATGAGATAGCATCAGCATCAACTCAATGGCAGTGAGGGAGTTGAGCTTCGCAAGTGTCAGTGCCTGTTCTGGAATGCACACCGGAGGCGCCTGGCCCTTGCAGTGCAGTTTGAGAGTCCTCCTTGCCCTGAATGTGCTGAAGGTCAAAATAGGAAAGGGAGTCTAAAGGAGGACAGGAGGTAGGGGTGGGGGTGAGCAGAAGGAAGCCTCTGTAGGAGAGGAACGCACTGTGAACAGAATTCCAACACAACCCTGCTTCGGAAAGACTTATTCCTGATTCCCGCCATCTTGCTACGGTTTCTACTTCTCCTCGTCTTCCTCCTCCTCCTTCTTTGTTTCCCCCTCCTCCTCCTCCTCATGATAGGAACCCCCCAGAGGCAATACTGTGGCCCATGGACTCAAAGCCCTCTTCTCTCCACAGGTTTGAGACCCTTCAAGAAGGAACCCAACATAGGCCTCGCGACGCTGGGGCAGCGCAGCTGAGGGAGGCTGATCTGCTCTGTTTTATATTTATGTTGGTCTACTCCGTCGGGTTCATTCTCTCTTGTTGTATTTCCCATTATCCCAGTAAGCCCATGTATATGATCACTATATTTAATAATCGCAGTCTAGAGATGTTCATGGTAAAAGTACTGCCTTTGCACGGGAGCCTGTTTCTAAAGAAAACCATGCTGTGAAATCGAGACTTTTCTACTGATCCTCGGAGCGCTGTATCCCAACAGTGACCCCCAACCACACCAGAAGTCACCGGAGGGGAGATCCCAGTGGGAGGGGGGAATTTGCCTGAGGAATGCATGCAGTATCTACAGGAAAAAAACAAACCCAAACAAAACAACCGTAGCGGTTTGTTTTTGTGTTTGAAATACAGAAGTCGTCTTGTCTCTGCACTTTAGGGTAAAAAGCATGGAAGGAATTATCTTAGGAGGTAATTCTAACCCTTTCTGAAAGTCACTCATTTCAGACTTGAGAATCTACAATCATGATTGCCTTAAAAAAAAAAGGACTGTTAGGGTGTGCCTTTTCCAGGCTGATTCGTATCTCCTTGGGGTCTGATGGGCGTGGACAGTGGTACTGATTTCTTTAGGTTGGTTGCTTTGTGGACTTCTTTGCTAGTGATAGGAACCTGACCCACACTTTAGATGACCTGATTATGTATGTATGTGCATAGACTTATGCAGACACACTAATGGTAGAACGCTTTCTTTATGTGCTAGATGATTATATTTAGTAGCATGTCCTTATAACTAGCCATTATCACAACTTTAAATTTTTTTTCAAATCACAATATTATGTTAATATTCCATCTTTGCCAATAACTACTGCATGGCAGAATAGGTTTTGGTATGTTGTCGATGGCCTCTAAGGAAAAAAATGTATTGGAAAAAAAAAAAAAAAAAAGGGGTCATGTCAAACCAAGTTGACATTTCCTGCATTTTTGTTTATAATTCAGAGCCATGTGGAAGGTCAGTATGGATTTTACTAAATCTGCCCTCTCAGTTCAACGCCAGGTCGGCTTGTCCTGAACAATAAAATTCACCGCAGGCCTGGTCTTAGGGGATCCCTCTGGCCCCTTCCTTCTCTCAAATTAAAGAGCAGAATTTAAGGGGAGAAGCTGGCACAGGGTGGAATTCCACCTCTGGGCCTACATAAAGGGCCATGGTGGTGAGTGGTCAGAAGCAGGAAGGGAAAGGTAACAGAGCCCAGTGTTGGATAGCCCTGCCGGCATCTCCACCTTGAGTATCCTCTGAGACATTTGTTGTCAACTGACCGTCTCTACCTTCTCCTGTCATTTGTCGTACTTGGATCCTGTGTGGCCAGTTCAAAACGACCTGTTAACTTTCTGTGTGTTTTGATCCTTCACCCCCAGAGTCTTTTTTTTTTTTAACAGAAACCATCCAGATATCAAGTCTCACTTGAGGCTGTCAGACTTTCTTCTCTACAGGGTATGAGAGGCGTGCTCTCCAGTGGCTCCACAGACCTTCCTAGTCATAGACATCACCATCTAATGGGGCCCTATAAACCTCCGTCTCCACTGCCTTAGTCTCCATCCCAACCGCAGGGGAGGAGCCGCCAAGGAATGATTTCCTAACTCACAGTGTACCCCTAAGAGAACTAGCCAGGGCAGTGCTGGCCTGAGGAGTGGTTACGAGCATCCAAAATCTACTTTCCTCATAAATGGATAACAAGTACTTGAGTCCATAAATGGATAACAAGTACTTGTAGCACAGCTGGGCCGAAGGATAGAAGCCACCAATATTCCACAAGTAGCCCTCTCCCACCCCAGACAGAGTAGACCGAAGGCTATGGTAAGATCAACTACAAGCTGGAGATGCAACACTGGCTCAGCCTCAGGTCTCATCACTGGAGTGACAGAAAGCAGCATTTGAACTATGGCCTCTGTAAGGTGACACCCCTCTGCAGCTCTTTAAAGTAAGGGCTGCACCTGGTCATCATTAACCATGTTTCCAGACAACAGTGGAGAAGTGGAGCTAGCAATCCTGATTTTAATCCCAATAGTTGGCTGGAGTGCCTTTTAGGGTAGACTCTTGTTGTGTGGGGCTTCAATCTTTAGGCAAACAAATTCCTGGCTTACTTGTTCCATTACGATTCTCTTTGTTATCTTTAAGAGGTAAAAACTGCAAACTGACTAGCATGTTCTGTGAATCTGCCATTCATAAAACTTTTCTAGACACAGCATCTTTTTATCACTGATTACTGATCGCTGCAATACAAATATATTGTGAAAATGCATCCACAATAAATGGAATTCCTCCCAATGTCTTGGCCTCGCTCATTCTTATGAACTATGTAGATTATGCTGGGGGTGGGGGTGGGGGG